CTCTCTCTCTCTCTCTCTCTCTCTCTCTCTCTCTCTCTCTCTCTCTCATCCTCTCTTTTGGGCGAGAATCGACCGAGCCGCGTCATCGATTTCGGATTTCGTCGTGGCGTGTGGCCCGCATCGCATCGCGCGCGCTCTTTTTCTACCCGCTCTATCCGCCGCTCGAGAGAAGGTACGAGAGGAGGACCTCGCCGAGAGGATGGAGGACGAATCTCGCGCGCGCTTAAAGGTCCCACGGACGAACGGCGAGTGGCCGTGTTATCGGGCAGCGTCGTTTTATTGTTCCGCTGCGGATGAAGGCCTTCATACTTTTCCTTTCCTCGCTCGTCGTATTTCTCCACCACTCGTCCCTTCGGCAGCGCCTCCCTCATATCTCCTCCTCTCTCTTTTTTGTGTCATATACCGAAACGGAAGGGCCACGATTAATCTTTGTCCGACGGCACGCTTCGCTGTTTTTCTTTCCTCCCTCTTTTGATTTGTCGATATTAAACCTAGCTGAGAAAATTCCGAGTCCATTCTCTTAAGGATTATTATTTCGGGATTCTCTCGGGATTTATCGCTTGTTATGTAATACGTTATGGAAATACATTATTAAAAGCTTTCTAAAACTCTAGCTTCGAGTTAAGACGAAAGAATCATCTGTCTTTCCATGATAGTAATCACGTGTAACGCGAAGTAAATATTCAAACAAAAGATTTCGATGAAATTTGGAAACGTCAGGGACATCATTGATAGACAAATCAAATTGTTGAATGACATATTGAAGGCCATATTGGCTGTTTCAGAGGCCTGGAGCGGGGGGACGTACTGCTGCCAGCAGGACGGCTGCAATTCCGGCCCGTCGTTGACAGCGTCGAGCAGCACGTACTTCGTCCTGGCGATCTCGCTGGCGGTCCTCATGGTGTGCCGAAGCCTTCGTGGCTAATACGTGTCGTCTGGCAAGACGTGGGACCCGCGCCGTGGCCTTCCTTCACAAAACTTCAATCACAAAAACTTGCACGGTGCGGGAGGTGGGAGGGGAACGTTGCATCTTGCACCTTAGACGTCTGCGCCGAACGATCGGGGCTTTCTACGTGCGGATATCACGGAGACGTCGATAGTCGTCCTTTGGTCCTTCAATCCTTTCGTCAGAAAGCTGAATGAAACCTCACGTTACCGTTTGTAATCGAACATATCCTCCCTCTCGTGACGATTGACGCGTGCTTTCTGCTTTCTGATATCAGTTACTCCGTTTAACCGAGATAAAGTTGAAATTCGAGATAATCAGCGAATGCGCATTGTGCCCCTCGAAAGAACGTTCTATTGACTTTATCACATTGACCGCACAGTGATCATTTATTATGGAAGTTGGCATTGATGTGTTATTTCTGTTGCTTTTACCAACTGACGGATCGATCGATTTATCAGTAAACGCCGAGGCAACATTTCTTCAAAGTTGATATCTCTTAAAGTACATCTACTGCTTCGCACAATAGATTTACTATTCAAATATTCAATTTTCAAAGTGCTTGTTGTATACATTTTTCAAACACTTAAAACATTTTTTCAATTTTCCTTTCTTTCGGAATTATAATACCGAAAAGAATAAATTTAACGTCAAGAGTATAATTATTCCGTTTTCAAAGAGATCAACTTGTCAAGTAAATTTTACGGACTTTTTGTTCAAAAGACAAAAAATTACAAGAAATGCACACTAATAAAATGTTATATCAGAACTATTTCCAGACATTTACATTCTGATTAAATGTCACGTATAACCGATTCGTGTCCGTCGCCCTCCCATTTCGCGTGACGGTATCCACGTCGTACAATCACGGCCGACTCAATTTAGCGAACGCTGAATGCACTTGCTAAACTCGACCGAGTTAAGTGACGCGGAGAAATCGGCTCGTTAAATCCGTTGCGTTATCGCGCCAACTTCCCCCCTTCGTTCGCTCTATTAAATTCGCACGTTTCCGCATACTTTTACAGATCGACTACCCTCGTTTAAGTTCCCTCGATCGGATTTGATTGAAATTTCGTTTAGCAAGTCTCGCTCCTCGAATTGAGATCTCGCCTACGGCAGATGAGGCGACATCTCGCATAAAAATCACTGTTATCGATGACGGACTCGTTACGAATTTTTCTTTGTCATCCAGATGGCAACGAGAAGATTGTGTGCGAAAGTTTTCCAAAAATATCTGGCTCAATGCCTCGAGAAAACTCTAGAGATATTTCGCACGCGATTTCTCGACAAGGAAATAATCTGAACGATGATATTTAACACTCGTGCAACACGCAATTCGAAGACGACGAAGAGACTGAAAATAGTTGCCACCATCATCATCGTGCCGCGTTTATCCGCTTTCACGGTAGCTTTCATGCAATGCGACTTTGCAGACGCACGTTTGCGCGAGATTTCCCTCGCGTGATGCGTGATCAGCTTTTTCCCCGCTGCTTTACCAGACAGCGTTTTTTTTGCGGCAGAGGTTTTCCGCAGCTACCACAAATTAACCGGTTTATTTTCGAGAATTTCATGATTTTTAATTTAAAAAATGTACTAAGAAGAAAGTAAGATTTTAAAAATATTTTTTTCGTGGAAAAATCTACTCTCTCTAATAAAAAAAAATATAAACAAAAAAAGGAAAGATGCAAGGCACCCTTGTATCATGTTTTTTTTCTCCGAGCTCTCGTCGGTCATCTCTCTATCGAGGGACGGTTCTGTCAGCCTTCAACGGCGAATTGAATTTACTCAAAAAGTTTCGGCGTTCCATTTTTCGTTGGGCGTTTTATCGACGCTTCTTCCGTCGCTTCTTCCGTTCACCCGCCGTTGCTCCGGCCTTGTACATGCGAGTTTAATAACATCGGGAGTATCGGGACGACCGGCGGGCTGGCGGACCGAAAAAGCGACGACCGAAGAGTGCAGGAGCCGATATATAGTATCAATATTTCGTACGAACGTCACGTGATGTGTTCGAGTTTCATAAATATTTCGGCGTGTCATGCGCTTTTCATAATACTACACTTTTCTAAGCCACACCGCGCGAGAATGCCCGTCTCGCAATTGTTATTAACCCATTAAAGCGCGACTTCTTGAGATTTTACATGAAATTGTCGACGAAAATACAGTCGGTCCACAAAAAAAAAGATTTGAAAAATTTCAAATGCTTGAAACACTTCCGAATAGGCAAAAAGTAATCCCATAAAGAATGATTAATCATACTTATATTGAAAAATCTCTGAAAAGCGTAGTTCACAACTCGTCTGATTCATGGTACATTTTTTTAAATGTCTTGAATGTTTAAAGAATGAAGCTAAAAGTAGCGTAGCGAAAAGAGCCGGGACAACTAATGTTGCCCGGTGCGCTTTAATGAGTTATTGATGCCCGAAGGTGTCAGGATGCCAATATCGTTCGGGTACATTGCTTTTTCATGGGCATCTTTTTAAAACAGTTAAACCCTCATGATCTTTTTTTGACGCTGTAGCGGTGTTATGGATTGTATTGCGATCGTATCAATATAAAGCTCTTCTATTATGAAGAAAAATTCGCTACGATGATAAAAAGAGCTCGACCTTTCACAATCCCATTTTTAGCCCTTTATTCCTGCAAAGCCGATTATCGTTTGAATAATGAACTTTATTACATCAGAAAGAGAGAGAGCACGCAATAAGAAATTCAAGCTCGTTTGCATCGTCCATGCAGATATTTTACCATTTCAAGCACATAAACGATATTTTCCAGAAGGCACAAGGAAGAGACGCTTGTGTGTCTGGGGACATAAATAATAATTTATCAGTACTGATAAATCAGAAATTGGATTACTTACAGAGAAAACGCATTAAGCTGTTCCAATAAAACGATCACATATCAGAAATTAATTCCTTTTCCTTGTACATTCTTGTACGTTTGTGATATTTTCAAAGAATTAGATGGTTTTTTTTTGCATACCAAACGGACATCACACATCTTTCTTCAAGAGCTATAAGTCAGTTTTGTCGTTTCGACGAGACCGATACGACAGAATATCGCATTGAAATACCCTACACAATTGAGATACCTTAATCAAAATTTCAACCTGATTGAGTCAATTTTCATAAAAGGACACGGTGACATATCCCGTCTGTTTGGGACGACTCGAGACGAACGTTTAACCGCTTAGCGATTCGCAATGAGGAAGAGAGCATCGACAGTTCGTGCGGAAGGAAAAAAAACGACGTGGCGACGTTCTCCGCGCGAAAATCGGTATCGATACATTGGACCATAATCGTTGTCAACGACATCGACGTTACTAAAGACCGAGTTAAGGGAGCTGATGGAGCAACGGAGTCGACGGCAGCGACAACGCGAACAGAAATGTTGCTTCTGCCGCTCGGCAAGACACTTCCTAAGCCGTAAGACAACACACAGAGGGAAAGAGAAAAAAAGGAAAAGAAGAGGATTGAACAAATAAATAACGTGAATAACCTACATACAGATAACGTTTAACAGAGGAACAGTGAGGATAACAATAATGATGTTATTACTACTATTACTATTATTATTATTACTACTATTGCTACTAATTATCATTACTATTATGAACTACTGTGCATCACACCGACTATACATATAGTAGTTACGAGCGATTAGGCGAATGCGAGCAAGCGGAGTTGTCGATTATTATGTAACCGCTTTAAGTAGCCTTATAAATTGTAATTAACGCGCGGATAATCTGCCGTCTATACACCGAGTGACGCGGACACGACGGCTTATCGTATCCCGATTTTCATATTGGGCGAAAGTCCGTTTTATTTAATTAATCCACTGTCAGAGACTTGTGATTTTTGACCGAGCATCGAATCGTTCCGTTCTTCTCGATTTGTATCCCCCCTCCCCCCATTGAAATTGACGATATTCAAAGTTTCTTTTACGAGAATCAGTCCTTCCGTCTCGGCAACGAAGAAGGGAACCTCATTCTGTTCCTCTTGTGTCACTCGGTACATACATCAACATAATGGATCACGAGCAGGTAGGCAAAAAAATAAAAAAAAAATTCCTAAAAAGTAGCGAGATATTCATCTTAGCGGATAAGCAGCGAGGGCGATCACGAGTAGCGTATAATCTGTTGTCTGTTCGCAGGGAGGAAGGGTTTAGCGATCGCATCCCGGCAACGCGAACATCCAAAAGACGTCATATATTAAGGATTAACGGACAGAGACGGGCGCAGAATGTGTAAAATACAATCCGCGTAACGAGGCGAGTAGCGAGTAACGAATAGTCATTGTTCGTCGCGCAAACGAATATTAAATATTTTTATTCGCATATATATAACGAATAATGAGTAATCCGTTTCGCTATTCGGAATAACGGGACTATGTCTCTCAGTTCTCATCCCTCAAGATGTCTTTTGGACATTCGCGTTACAAACGGGGACGAACTATCTGTTCTCGCAATTTAGGGGCAGACGATTTATCTTTAAAGTTAGATCACACAAGAGTCTCTAGGATAACCGTTAAAGCTAATCTATTTCTCGTCTCGAACGTCGGCCGATCTAAACGTCGATTGTTATTGTTGGAGGTGTAGCAGTACCGGAGGTAGCCGTCGGCGGCTGCGGTTCGAGATTAATCGTTGACGGAGCGCCGGCCCGCATCGACTTAGTTTAATTAGCGTAGGGATCGATAATCGCCCTTCTCAACGACGATTAATGCTCCGATCGCGAAATTGCGCGAACCACGTGCGATTAGACGTCTCGGCGGGGAGGATTACGCCAGATTACGCGTCGCTGGATTACATCGGGTGACTTTAAGTCGTTCTCAAATTCAACTCATTAGCCGCGCTGATCGAGAATCTATTTAACGCCGATACATCTTGCTTAAGCCTCGTCTATATATTTTTATAAAGGTAGCACCAGGATCGATCACCATCACCCGCGCTGACCGTCTCTCAACTCAATTATTCCCGCGATATTATATTCTTACAGCTACGAATTAAATTTTCACTAGGGCTTCATTCGAAAATACTTTGCAACGAGCGATACATTATTCCATTGTATCTGCATTCAAGTTTAATTTCTACACAGAAACGTGATTCTTTAATTACCGTTTATAAATTAATCGGAGTCCCGAGGCGAGAACCCGTCTCACAGGAAAGACATCTTGACAAGTGCCAGTAATTATACCGAGTTATTCGAAATTGGCTGGTAATTGCCAGATTATCTTCCGAAATGAGCTCTCGTATTTCGAACGTTTCGAGTCTCGTTCCCCGCCAAAAATGTTGTAGAGATAGAAAAACGTATCATTGAAAAAAAGCCACACAGACGCGCGCTGTCGAAAAACACAGAATCTCTTGGACGTTCACACTGTAACGATTCATAGATGATTTCTTAGCGTTTAAGATTTTACTATATCGCGAAGGGAACGCTCGATAATAACTCTTCAATCGTTGCGAGTTCCATCAGCTTCTGTCGGCAACAAGATCGTGAGAAAATATCGCTGTCGGATCACTCGGCTTTTCATGAGAGATAAATACATTTTACAGTGAATTACGTTCACATTGCCGAACATTTCCGCTAGTTTAAATCGATATCAAGTTAATAAAAAAGTATTGCTGCAATCATTATTTATACAATATAATTCAGTATAAGTGGAACGACACATCAATTATATATCAATTTAATCACAACGATATCGAGAAGGGAATACCATAAAATGGATACAAATGCGCGCACTACATAATATAAAATTACAATTAATAATAATTGTTAAGCCGAGTGATTTGCGCGATAATTATTAGAGTTATATAAACATATATATACATATATATATATACATATACATATATATATGCATATATATATACATACATATGTTATATATTATATGATATATTATATAAAACTACGTCACACATATTGCATTACATTATATATATTATATTACATTATATTATTTAGTTACGTAAGCAGAATCATATGTATGACGAGTTGTACATTTATATTAGACACACACAGCAATAATAAAAACTATACTCCGAATATGCGCGTGTCCCAATGCTCTTTTATTAGCCTATTAATGCACAACACTCGTTTCATTGGAGAAGGCAGTAAATACGGCAAGCATAAATTTATTGTATATATTGCGATAGTTGGGGCAATCAATTTAACTCGTTTAGTGAATATATATATAGGGTATACCGGCCGCCATCGATTCCCGCTACGTCGCGATCGAGAGACGATGCCTTAATGCAATTTCCATTTGACTTCCCTTTCTCGACACCAACGCCCCCGTGTGCCACGGTTAACACGGATTGCCGTACGTATTTCCCCATTCCATCGGGGGCGACGATTATTTACGATCGACGTCGTGTTACATTTTTCAAGCGCGGCAAAGTGCTCGTCGAAAGCACGACGTCCCTCGGACATGATTGATCGTCCACTCGTGGAAACCGGCTGACGCGATTCATCTGGGTGAGGACGAGGCTTTTGAACAATTATGGGGAAGGCTTTCCTAGCGCGTGAGAGTTACGCACGCCAGGAATCAAGTAGCGAGAAAGTTAGGTACGCTTTCCCCGCAACAAAAGATGTAACGTGCATGACGGTGCTTCCACGCTTCCTGCGTGTGTGCGTATGTGTGATCTATAAATTATCACTTCCTATCTTTGTAAGACATTTTTAACCGTTTTCTTGAGCAGCCTATCATAAAAAATTATTCGAATTAAAAAACCATTATGTGAAATAAATCCAAGGTAGGAATTTTAAAAAAGTCATTATTTGATTGTTACAACTCGTCTCTTTGGCTTTTTCTAGCCGATCTGTGACTGTAAAATGTCTTTTTCAGCGGAGACCAAGTGGAATACACGATGGTAACTTTCACTGACTCAAGAGCAGTGTTACGTTATTTATTTTAGAATTTGTACGCTCTGTTGTCATGAACGATTTCACAGAGCGTACCGATTCTTTAATAAGTGTCGTTAACAATTGACAACGAAACACGCCGTCTATCTTGGTAAGTCCTCAAACGCGGCGAAATCTGACGTTCTAATAAATAAAATCTTAATCATTCCTATTAAAGGTAAATAAACGTTTTTAGAATTTTTGCCCTAATTCAGCTACCGGATGTAAAATTTATGATTAATAACTTGACAAAGTTAACTTCCTCAAATTAACTTCCATCTTCTTCATTATGATTCTACTCACGTGATGGAATACATCTATTCCGCAATCTCCTTTGAATTGGATTTGTCATCGTCACCCTCATAAAGTGGTCTATGCTCACCACATATCTCTCCACTACGCAGTAACAACTTAACCGAGATTAATCGATGTCCTAGTCAAATACACTTAACTCTGACACTAAGAATTATTCGGGGGGATAAACCATTCGTCGTATTACGCCGATCTCGACCCCTTCGGTTTCCTCCACGAATTAATCATTTTCTCGAAGGGTGCAGCTTGTGGAAGCTTTTCGGCCTGATTTCTGGGATCAGAAAATAAAGATCGTAAATATTGCGGCAATACATGACGCGGTTAAGTATTTGTCACCGTTTCCTTCATTTTGAACAATTAATTAATTAATGAGTTACGGTTAAAAAAAAATCAATTCCATGAGTGTCCCAAAATTTATCTTTTTCGTTGCAACATTATCGTCATTAAACAGTCCCCGCGAAGCACATTAAAAATTGTTTCCGTATACTAAAAGAGTACGATGAGGTGAATCTTCGATCCAACCTTTGCTGCATATTCATTAAAAACTTGCTTCCATCGTAGATCAAATGTAAATTTGTTAATTAAAAACTTCGCCAAAAGATAGAAAAAAATATCATTTTTGATTATTTATCATTCTGTGTCCCTCTCCTGCTCCCTCTTTTCATTTCTTATCAATGGCTCGTGAAAATGTACTTGAAGTAAGCATTTTCCCCCTCAGTCGACATGCATACTAACAAGCAATTCTAAAAATTACATTTAAATTGAAAATGTTTGCTGACGAATATTTAAGGCAATTTAAGTGCGTACGCTACGAATCGGCGCCGAATTTTTCAATTTCGTAATGCGCTGTTAACGAGTCAAATGCAATAAAACGTTCAAAGATTTTTCGACGCTAAAACCTAAAGTCAACAAAATTGAAAATTTACATACTATCTGTTGGAGAAACTCAATTTTAAAGTTTCAGAATTCTCGCCAAAACCAATGCACTATATTGTATATATTAGCATTTCCCTCTCCCTTCGATGTTTATACACACAGTTTCAAAACTAAACTTATATCACTTTAGAAATAAGCGGCTCATATTAATGATGTAGCACAACGTCGCAGTGTTCGCGCTCCTTTTTGCGGCTATATAAGGTCGCTAAAGCGATTTGATAAAGCTTTGTACATTGAGATTGTGAAATTTCAGTAAAATCTACTGATGAAAAGATACATTAAAAATGTAGCACACACACATAACGTTTACAGATCAAAGGCATTTCACAGCCGAGGGTTATATATAGCGATGGAAATACGCGAATATCGAGCAAGAGCAGGTTTCAAGAGATAAACCATCCAGTCCCTCCATAGAAATTAATAATCATTTACGAGGCAATTTCCTTTTTGTTCTTTCTCTGTATAAAATACATATCATCAATATAAAACTGAAAGCTGCAAGATATAAGAAAAAAAAAGATTAATAAATTGCCAGTTGATGGAATTAATTTCTGTAATTTCCAATTTTCGATCAAACGGGATAGTAGAGTTAAAAATCGTGAAAATAAGTAGCGGCTGCGAAGATAACCATTTTTCGCAGTAGCCAAAATGTCGGCTCGAAGGACGTTTCTTTCCAAAAAACAAAAAAAATCCATTAGGCGGTAGGGCCAGGCGGTGCAAAGTGACGGATCGCCTTTCAATACGGAGAGGTCGAGATTTTCCTTCAGAACCGCTAGAGCAATTACGTTCCTTGCAAAGTGTGTCCATTCTGTCGAAGGAAAATCTTCGCGCGACAGGGACGTTAACGTCGAAGACCGAAATCCGACCGAGGATGACGACTGACGTTCAATAAATATGCTAATATTTCCGCTCTACCGGCGGAAATTACGATAGCACCCTGCCCAATCCGAGTAAAGCGATCGTTGATCTTAAGCCGCGGAAATTTATTGCGACGGAGAATCCTACGGTCAGTCTGTCGTATGGGCAGAGTCGAGATTTCGCGTCTTCTTAATCATAATTTATTGTTCTCGGTGAATCTCGAAAGAACCTGAGAATATTTACCTTGCCGTCTAATCGTATACGTCTACTGTTATTGGGATAATTTATTTGGGACACTTATTTCGCATGTCTCTGCGCTCCTCGTTCGCTCGTGTACGAATCGTGACGGCGCAAAGCCGTTACGAGGTCGTTAGCTAAAATAACTGTGGCACCATATCTGTGGTATCGCACTATGTACCTCGCTGTACTTCGTTATAGCCGCGGCGGTGTAACAAAGGAGAATTGCGAAGACATTGGGGGAAACAACGAGGATACGAGGAGCCTCCGACACGCTATCCCGGGAATGTATACGTCATCGTGTTGTAAAACAATGTTATTTCAAGTCAGCGTTGCAATTATCTTACGCGTGTCGTTCCGAGGCCTCCCTTTTCGAAGCGAATATAACGCGACCACGTTGGCGGAAAACTGCTCGCGCAAAAAACACAGACACTTGAAAAGTCTCGTAAACGCTCCGGGACAAAGTGCGAGAATCACCTTTGACTTTTCAGCGTAAAACAAATAAAAATTTGTGCACATACATCGCGGGCCCGTCGCTGCGCCGCGCGCATCACCGGTAAAATGTCAAAATGCTGACGGCAAGGTAAAAATGGCGTGTCTTTGTATAACGGGCGACCTACCAGCATCGTAAGCGTTATTTTTTTTCACGCCGGGGGCAGCTTGACACGGAAACCTTTTTGCACGCGGCCTTTTCCCTCCCCCGCGCGCTATCAGAAACAAAAAGGGATTAATTAATCTCGCGGCGTTCGAAAAACTTGTGCCGTCGATTAATAATCGCGAAGAATGTCGAATAATTCATGGCATTCATATTCAACGCGACACCGACATTCAAATTAGTTTAGCGCGCCGCGGCTTCGCTACCTCTCGACGGCTAATTAATGACGGCTTCCGGCTGAATGACAAATGTCGGTTACGATTGAACGCCGATCGTTCGGGTTCAATGTTTTACGCGTGCAGGAAGGAGCGGAAAACGATTTCGCGATTTGTCGAAAGCCGTGAGTTTTGCTGAAAGCAGATTTCGTCGGAGCTGGGCCATTTCCGTTCGTTTGAAATTCTCGATGCGAAGGGATGCACCTCGCGAAAATGCGTCGCGCGATAAAACTATCGGATATTCGTTTGGCTCCGATCTTTCGATCGCGTTGGTTATACATAGAAACGTAATCACATCGACGCCGGCAGAACGACTCATGTAAATTTCAGATTCTATCGACCATTAAGAGGACATCTCACGCTAAAGGTAATGACGGCCGTGGGAACTTTGGACCAGTTGTGATATAAAAACGATAAAAAGATATTACACGCGATAATTAAAATAGTTTTCACTAATGGCACGATATATCTAGCCTTGTTTAAATGTTGATAACGACTATCTTTAGAATTCGATTTTAACGATGAAATAGCGTAATACGCTATATTCGGAGCTAATCTCCATTTATAATAATATATATCTCATTGCCAGATCAATTAAAGATTAGTAATGATGTTAATCATTATAAAGAAAAATTATGTATAAACTTGACCATTTTTCGGTTTTATTAGAGTCGGAAAGCTCTGATATTCTCGACCCACATGTCCACACACCCTCTCCCACGCGTATTTCACGCCTTCATGCTGTCGCGTTGCGGTGCTATTATACACTGAGATCGTGCCCCAGTGGCGCGTGTGCATTTCCGCAGCATATCGCGACTCCTTTATTACTTTACGGACCGGTGCCGCTTGCATCCGACCCGCCGCCGCAACTGCACCTCCCCCGGGGGTCGTCGAGAGGGGGTGCGATCTCGTGCGCGCGCGTTCATGTACTCACCCCGATGTACTCCCGGTCGTGTGTACATTCACCTTGGCATCCGCAGAATGGACGCTTCGCCTCGGCGAGTTCGATCCGGGAATTCCAGACGGTCCGTTCGACAGCGAGAGAGACGTCGGTCCTTCCGCTATAGTAATTATTCCACGAACGATATATGACGCGGCGCCTCGACAACGGCCGACCCACCGTGAAATTGCGCCGTTGTTATTTCGATTTGTCGTAGTTGCATTCCTACGTCCGACGGGAATATCGGCTGCCACGGAGAATGTTTCTCGGTTTAATAGTTTTAGGGACCGGATACTGTAACGTTACGATCAAAAGCGACGTCATTATTCGAGAGAAAAATAAACGCGCAAGTAAGTACATTTTATATTTGAAAAAGCACAGGTTTCCAGAAACAAATCTAAAAAGATAAAGATCAATAGAAAATATTTTTTTCAATTTGATATACTTTTTACATTCAAGAGGTGCGGAATCATTAATGATCACTGCCGATTAGGTCACGTGTGATGAATACCGAAGGGTATACACTTTCGACAGTTTCGCACGAAATAGTGATGCACGTTACGGCATTTCTCCGGCCATGACGAAGCATGCTAGCGGTTCGAAACAATCGTTGTAGTCATGGCATCACGGGTCACCGGGCGAATCCCTAATTCGGACTGGATCGACGTCGACCAGTTATGAATGTTAACGCAATTGTTGTCGATGATGGTACGTTACGTGGTTCGGAGCGTCGGCAGCATCCGGATGCGGTTTAAACTCACGTCGAACTCGAGCATTACGAGCGTGGCCGCGTTATCGTAAGCACGCGAATGGCAAATTGATTTTAAACTGTCAACGCGTCAATGACGGTATAATGTTCACCTTGATTTCAGAGATAAAGCGGGAAACAGCGTCGCCCGGACGCTGCAACTCGAGAGCCAATTTCTAGAATGCAAAACAGAAAACAAAACGAGAAAAAAGATTCTGCGACATCTGTAATCATGTAGAAATAATTGATCATTCACATCTCTGTCGTAATATAAATATAAAGAACCTATATATTCGCTTCTAGCTAATTTATTCATCTCTCTTCCACGAATTGTCATTGATTTCGGACCGTAGAGGCGTTTTATTGAACAAAGCCCGCGCGCGCGATATGTGGACCTATGCAAATCACGATTTTCGTATACCGAATGAATTTTTTACAGTATATAAAAAGCAGCGCAGCGTCTTTAATTGAGCCGCTTGGTCACGCGGTGAAATGTCCGCATTCGGCCGCGCCGCTTTGCGGGCATAAACTTTTTCCGCGGCCGCGACAGATTGGCGTTGCCCGAGGGACAACTGGGATGATTATCCTTTACAGAGCGGACTGCCGTTATTAGATTAAAGCGGAGCACCGGCCGCGAGTGTCATTAACGTCGCCAATTAGCGCGGCCCCATGCACGCCGTCTTTGCGCGCGCCGTAGTATTTTATCCGACCCCTCGGGATCTTTATTTGCCGCGGCAAAACAACGCAAAGCTATGTTTTACACGGAAATACGTCGCTCGCGGTGGCTCCATTAAGTAGGGGTAGACACGACGACCCAGAGGCACACCGGGCATCCTAAATTCGCGTATAATACTCCCACGAGTAAATCGCGTTTGCGAGCCGCAGATTTTTATGCATCCGCAAAAAAGAGAAAAAGAACGTGGTAAAATTTGTATCATATGATGCACAGAAGAGACACGTACGATTTTATTAACACGCGTTTTTCCCTTTATATTTATAATTTCTATTGGTAACAATTTTTATTATAATATAAATATAAATTTATATTAAAAACAATTCTCAATAAATGCTGGATACAATTAGTTCCATTGATTACCACGTTTTTTTACGCTCACTCTGTATTCAGCGCACATACCTGACCCCGTATCACAGTTTCTGCCTTGTTTCACCCCGGCACATTGTAACGAAGCTCCGAGTGTTCTTCCACGTGTGCCATTAATGTCGTTAGTTAACGCAATTAACCGTGCTCATTCGCCAATTTCTCCCCACAATTATTTAACGCGCAAGACAACCCACTGCAGAGATGCAGAATATTTCGCGATAAGAACACACGGTGGTTCGTGGCTAACGAAATTCTTGGCATTCCTCGCGACAAGAAGTTTTGCGCAACGCAGAAATTCGGTCATGTCGGAATATTTATTATTGTTGTTAATTAATGCTGTTCTCCTATTTAAGAGCTAATTGTTGAATGTATTGTTAAAGAAAATTAAATATATATACTTACTTGTAAATAATCATCGTTGACAATACTCTGACACTCGAACCAAATTTGCAATTAAAATAAATTATCACATTATAGTCTGACATATTATGACAATTGAAAAATACAAAATTAACCATATATTTAAACAAATGAGCACTTCAAATTTTAACTCGATGCATAATTTGTAACGCGGCTGAAAAAGTACTTAAAGGAAATAAATTTTATTATTCACTTTCAACATCATTACTCAACGAAAATTGGCTGATTGTAGACAGTAAATTGTCCATTGTCTTTGGATTTCATTTCTGATTCCAAGAAGATATTTCTCCGGATTGTCGTAAGTACATGATGACCTATTTAAAACGCCAGACGACTAATTAATACCGGCCAACGACGTTGCCGCATTGGCAAACGGCGCCGTCATTATTTCAAGGCCATTCATGGGGTTTCCGCGAAATCTTTATTGTCTACGATCAAACGTTGAACATACTCATCTTTTATTCTTATTTACGTTCGCTAGAAGAATAATATCGCTGCTTATCTTAAAAAAAGAAAAAAAATTCAAAGAATTTGTTCAATAAACTAAAACGTTTCTAAAATAAATAAAATGTTTTTAAAAATGATGAATTTGAGACACTCTACACACTTTTCTAAAAATACGATAATTAGTCGTCTGGAAGGGTCAAAACAATAAAACATCTCATAATTCGAGAACATTGAGAGTTCTCGTTAGATCAATCAATATATCACATTACATCACGAAAAACAACTTTATTTCCAATTTTTACAATGATATCTAGCACGCTTCCCCGTCCCGTCTGAAATCGCGAAGAGGTTTCGAGTGAGAGGCGAAAGACGAGGTAACGACACGCGACACGCGCGGCGATCGATGCGATACGAGCGACGAGTACGGCGCGCAGGAGAGAGTAATATCCGGTTATAAAGTAAAAGGTACTCAACTCAGGATGGATGGATGGATGGATCAGGACGAGGAGAGCTCGCCAAATACACGCGCGGGTGATCGTCGAAAATGCAAGCACGACAAAACGGGCGATCCCGATGCGTGCGACACGCGTGCAAGACGTGCCTGACTACGTGTCGCACGTGTCGATCACAAATAATAATTTAAATATCCGTGTGTACGCGCTGCGATAAACGTAGGACGCACTTAAACGCCTTTTTATACCGCCGTCCTTAAAACAAAATTGCCTCCGGTATTTACACAGCGTCCGGTAACCTTCTACTCCGTCTCGATTCGTTACTTGAGTCGTTGAGCGAAATAGCGGCGAGTAAAAATAAATGTTTAACATACACCGACTCCCGTTGCTCCGGCGGAATGTTAAATCTTGGACTCTTTCCTGGATAGAAAACTCGGCGTGATGAGAAAAGCGAATTTATCGGATAAAATATTTATTTGAATAAAATATTATTGAATAAAATATTTCGCAACTTCATATCACTGTTCCGTGCGGTAAGATCTATCCGAGATATTTAAAATTCCCTTCGTGTCTACTTGATAACCCACGGAAAAATTTAAATTGAGTCTAGAAGGCGGTATATTAACGCGCGCAGAAATGCATTTTACGTGCAACGATCGTGAGGATGGAAAAGGAAAGCGTCTCTCTGTGTATTCGCCTCTCCCGGCACACGGTATTTCTATTTTTTAATTGCTAGAAAAGATATTGTTGACTATACAAGGCTGGCAGCGATCTCTGTGTTCTTCATTCCTTCGTTTTCTTCATTGCCGTCGGTTAACTCCGTCTCTCCCTGTTCCCCTCCGTCACCCCCGCCCCGTTCTTTTATGGACGCCCCCGTCTCGTAGTTCGGGACAGTTTCCTACGTTCTGCCCCCGCTTTACTTCTGCTGGAACAATTCGGACAACACCGAAAGGAAAGTGAAGGGACGGTCACGGATCCACCTCCAATTACTGTAAACGCTCTTACGTACATCGAACAGTTCTACATTGATAATCGAGAATGCTTTTTCATATCAAAAGAAGCGATAGCGTCAACTGAATTAATCCATATACATTAATCTATATATATATATATATGACAAAAAATGCATTCTGAAGAATCACAAAATATTTAGCTGAAAAAAAGATACTCTGCTCATTGCTATACATAATGCAATAAATAAATTTCTCAGTGACAAATAAATATATAAGTTAATCTTGTACATGCTGCGACTGCTATCACAGAAAAATTAAGCAATACCTGTATTACATGGAAATATATTGTTTAATAAGCGAACTATCGTTTTCCGGTACTGAGAGAGATCCCGCGGCTTGTAGCTATTAATTACTGGAAACACGCATTTCTCAACACAGCTGGACCATCGTGAGAGTGCACTAATCGTACTGTTTGTTTAAGGGGTTGTAACTGTTAGTGCACTGACCTTGGCGGCATCACCGGCGCCGAGATACAGGAGGCCGGTCGCACCTGCGTACGCCAACAGGGTGTCGATCGCCTGCTGCGTCTCCAGCAGGATCCTAGCCTCGTTCATCCAGTCGCTGGCGATGCTTCTGGGCGCACCTTTGAGTAGATTCATGTACCTCAGGGTCATTTTGAAATCGCCGCGATCGCACCAATATCTGAAACAAGCAGTTAGGCGCGATATGTTCCAAGCCGGAGCAAAATGACGTTGGTTTCTCGTCGTCAGACAATTCCATTTGCATTTTTATTTGCGCGACGCAGTTTAACAAATTGTAATGATACCTCTGGATATAAATTCATATCGATTTGTTAATTTGATATAATCGAATGCCTCGCAAACAGCGAGCGGCCACGGTCTGCAATTTGTGGGAGGCAATCAGCGCGGAAGATTTGTTGGCCGATTTCTCTATGGTTATTCACGAGTACAACCGGTTGCTGGCCACTTCATTCCGGAGTTTCGAAACAGACGGGAACGTACCCCGCTTCTCCTTCTTCTCCTCCACCCCCTTCCTTCTCTTCCTCTCTCGTTTTCGGAGAAACACCGGAGGGGCTGCGCGATGGTTTGCTACTCACGTTGGAATAGTTGGCGACATCCGGCAACCGAAAGCTAGACTATCAGACCATCACACGCGATCTTCCAAAAGGAAACGCCGATTAGGAGAAAGAGAGAAGCTGTGGCTATAAAAACTTCGTCTCTGGCCGAACATTTAAACTGGCATTCCCTACGAGCTTTGTTCGTTCGTTTGTTCAGGGGACGAAACGTTTATTCACCGGCTTAGAATTAAGTTGGTGATATCCAGCGGATGTCGCTTTTCTCTCGGCGTAGAAACGCTGAGTCTCCCAGAGAAAACCGCATGCAGGATAGAACATATGCTGAGAACTTTGCACAGAGTACACCGAGTCGTTTCCGATAAGGAAAGTGAGATTAACGTTGCATCCCGGCTTACCCGGTAGATTAGGAAGGCAGAAAGAAAAAAATACCAAATGTTCCCAAAATGGCGCGAAAGGATTTCTATATGAACGGACAATACAACTAAAAATCATTTTTTCTTTTGTTGCATTAAAATATCGCCGTTCCTTAAATCGTAATATAACTATATATTCTGTTGATAAAATTTAGAGCAAAACAATAAAAATGACTTGAAGAGCAGTGACAATTTATAAAAGACCAAAAATATTAAATTAACTAATTCTCGAATTGGGACGAATTATCTAAATCTCGTTATGTTCTTACAATTAGTTCCAAACATGCGTTTCAATATTTTTCAATTTGCTAATTTTAAGCAAATATTGATCTATGTATATATGCATAATAAATGAATAAATGAATACTGACATTGTCGGCCATCGACATTTTATAATAATTTCTATAAATTTTATATATTTCATCTTTATGTCTTTAAACCCACGCGCCGATTATTCTTCAAACGAAGTTTTTAATACTATATATAAAAGCTGAAAATATATTACATTATTAAATCAATTTAATCAATTTGATAATCAATTTAATATTAGTGATGCTAATAAGCATCACATTATTAATTTAAGAATTAATTGGCCATTATCGGATCATGCTCGATCCTACACCGGTCTACTGTTAAGATTACAGCTTAAAAAAAAACCCAAGAATTAACTAACGTCACGGACAACCCAACGTACGTCGGAAACTACACTGCCTATCTTCTCATTACAACAGATCCTACAGAACGACTACGTGAAATAGGACGCGGCGTAGCACGGTGCGATGTGGAACGTTTATTCGTCCCTTCGGTATCTTGAGATCGACTCTCATGGACTACGTAGTCCATGTGGCCTAATTCGGGGCACGGACGCGCAATGATCGCGGATACTGAAGTTTCTTGCTGCTTTCGGATTTCATATTCGGCGATATCGCTTCGCGGGAACTTTTCTGCTTGGCCTTTACTGATTGTGAGACGAGCGAGCGATTCTCCGAATCTATTAAGAAAATCCCTCGTTTTTATGTGTTCCTTTGCTGTAGATCGCGGATAAGCTCAGTTTTCTTTACGCCGATCGATCGTTCTGACTGTGGTGCGCAATATAGACTTCTCGTGATAATTAAATCACAGAATCATCAAGACGAAGAATCCACCTGTACTTTATTTTATCTACAAATTTTTCGGTTTATTTAACGTTAATATCTATTTTTTTTTATAAAAAATATTTTATGTGAGAACTAAAAGCTTTTATCAATTTAAGAAAATCTTGTCCATCTATTTCAAAGTAAAGAGAGAAACCTTTTAGTTTCACCTTTAATTTTAACTAACAGATAATCAACAATTTGTGTCAGATCTTTCGACAAACAAAGTTCATTGCTTGTATCCATTTAGAAATCTCTACTCTCGTCCTGATTCGTCGATTTAAGAAAGAGGATCAACTTTTGTTGCTCGAAATAAAATGCGGCTAACTATAAAATAATAAATGCGGACCTACTTACGTTCATAACGCAACTACAGTCGCGCGTGTTCCCAACTAATCGAACGAAAGTTTGGGAATTAAATTTTAGAACGCATCATCAAATATTCATTTATTGCTGCAAAGCTAAGACAATGGTGCCCCTTTCAAACCCGCGAAATCTTTTATGGATGTATTCTCGTGATATATCGACCGTACCCCCTCTCCCCCCCCGACAACCCGGGAGTTTTATCCATGGGCGTTGAAAGAGCGTGTGCATACTGCAGTGCGCTCCGAAATTAAAAATTCAAGAGGCTCACGTCCGGGCTTCGGTGCGCACGTGGTTCGTTCGTGAACTACAAACGTGTCGCGCGAGTTACCTAACACAAATATCGGCGATTCTAAAAGCCAACTTATATCGGCGTAACATATTTGGACCTACCATAGAGATCGACCCGAGACTTAGTCCGCTGATAAAGTGTGCCACTCGCATCAGCAACGTATTATTTATTCACGCCGCTAAGTGTCATTCGTAACGTGTGCAGGTGCAGGCAAGCACGCGTTATGCTTGTCCGGCTTGTTTTGTGCGAAATCCCACAAGTTGGAAGAAAAAGTATTCTTGATAGAATAATTAAGTATTCATCAGGACACCGCTCACGCCTTCTACGAGCGGCGAGGGAAAAGTACAACACGAATTGCATTGCGGAACAGCTTTGATTAAAAGAGCACGCTGCAAGCGCTCCGCTCTGTGAAATTACGAAATTACGTATGCCAAAATGCTACGAGTCATTCAAAGACTTCAAAGACAAATTTTGGTTGTGTTCAACCAACAAATTAACTCAATGAGTTACATTTAATTTCGCAGAGTACGATCGTGCACGATCTATTCGAAAAACTGCGATTTTTTTTCTCTCACACGCCTCGCGCGGCGTACTTCGCAAAAATTATGCCCCGCATAATTTTCGAATCAATGATGAACCTTGACATTTTCCCTCTCTCTTTCGCAATCCATTCGCGAGATACGCTGAATAATGTATTTTTAATTCGTAGGAATAGGCACGAGGAGTAGCGACGCGTATAGATAAGGGAAGAAGGGAAGTATAAATCGCCGGGAAAATCGGCGCGCAGGGTGTATTTTTTTTCGCGGTCGACACTCGACATTTCGCGAGCCACAACGAGTACCAGCAAGTACTATTAAGTATGCAAAACTATCCCTTCGTGGCACGTGAGAGATGCTGGCCGATTGCTTCTCCAGCATCCCGTGACGTGGCATCGCGGCGGCCGTTTTAAAAATCTCATCCGCACGTGGTGTTTCCCAAACACCTGCGATTCTTTCGCTTCAGCTGCGACACGATTGAGTGATGAATTTTTTGTACGAACGAAAACACGCGCCGCTATTCTCGCAGATTTTTGTACGTGAGACCGTTCGAATATCGGATACCGTCATTACGTGCCAAAACCGTTTTTGCACAGTTGCACAAGAAATTCTATCGTCAGAATGAAACTTTAACGACGAATTCTCTCACAAATTTACAGCGCTCTCGCACGCTACATTTTTTCGCACAAATATTTAACGCTGTGGATTTTAATGAAAACGCGATTATAATGCTTTTATGGAATACGTAATATTTTCCCTCGAAAAAATAAATTAAAGCGAGCTGCAACACATATTTTGCGGGGCATACACATATGCTTATCTTTATTTAGCGCTACCCAGGATAAATCGCGGGTGTCTTCCATAAGGGAAACCGAAGGGCCGCTGACACGAGAAAAACGAAGGGATAAGTCGGTAAAACGGCTCGCCAGCGGATTTCGCCGGGGATAACCTGACGAGTAGTAAATGGCGGTGTTCTTTGTCAAAGTGTACGTGGCGGGTATTACGGCAGGTGTTTTCGTCTTTCCCGCCTCGTTGATGGCCGGCTGGATATATTGCACTCTACCCAGTCCTTAGGGTCTCGTAAGGATAATTTATAGGGTCAAAACGTGAGCGAGCGAACAAGAGAAAGGGAAACGGAGGGCCTTGCGTGACGCGGAAATTGCTGCTCGAGTTACGAGTACAATAAAAGTGCATTTAATCGGCGACGCGATAAATTCTATCGGTGTCCAGCATCGACAATTTTGCGCCGTCGTTGTTTACTTTCGTAACCCGTACCGTTTTCGTATCGTAAACTTTCACGGAATTCGAGAAATTTGCAACAGGGAATGTACATAATCAATTTGCCATAAAACAGATATTGGGGAAGGTATTTCGCCTCGTTTACGGCGAGTTTCTAACGTGCAATAAATTCATTCGACCGCTTCGTCTACAAAGATATGAGAGAATCTGTAACAATTTACGAGAATTCTTACCTGGCACGCTGGAGTATGTCGTACGTATTCAGCGAGTCTACGTCGATTGGCTCGTCTTCAAGCTCCCTTTTCGGAATTGAATTGGCCGTTTTGATGATCAAGAAACTTTGAAGATAACTAAGAAGATATATAGGCAGGGCTGCGCCGCCTTCAGGCACCATAGCTAATCTTCTCGCCACGCTCTCTACCTGGTAATGCACAACGAGCGAGCCATTTTCAAAAATTGATATTTACATAAAGAGATTCCGCGAGCTGATGAAAAATGTGTAAGTGAAAAAGGAAACTTTAGAAAATGATAATGTGGCTGTGTAAAATTTATTACATCTATCTAACGTAATAAATTTAATTGAACTTGATATATACCTACAAATAAACTAATGTATAGTAAAATAAATTGCACAAAGTACAGTTTATTATATTATAAGACGCAACGTAAAATCGCAACGTTCGTTCGCTTGTCGGTTCAAATCGCGTACTAGTGATCCTCAAAGATCGTCTCGCGAAAGTAGAACACGTAAGAGCAAGAGCAACCTGATTTTAAGGAATGTGAGAAGCACGGTAATTACCTTGAGGAACCTCTCGCGGAGGGTATCCTCCGGGAACACGCCTCTCTTGGCCGCTTCCTCGGGAATGCTCTGGATAGCGGCGCGCACTAGGGGATCCTCTTTCGCTAGAATCAAAGGAAATGGAAAATTGAATCGATGCGAATGTACGACGGCTCTTCAGCCGCCTGTTTAATTAATTGAAGTACCAATTGACGTTGATTTTTGGTTCGTTCATTTGTTCGTTCGGTCGACATTACGAGAATTCCGACAAGCAAAATTAATCAGCGTACGTATGTTATTCGCAATAACTGAATATCCGTTGTAGTCCAATTTGCTTTGTGGCCACCATACCCACAACAATCTGGCTACGTTTTTCCGTCGTTGAATGTATTGCTTACATTCCTATAACACGCTACGGATATATGTTTCAAGTTGCGGTTGGCATTTAGTTATTGTGAATAACGGTGCACATACGATAATAAGTTTATTGTACGTTGTTTTTATGCATCGGATAATCGCATAGTTACGCCGGTAACCAGGACGGCGCCTCTCGTTGTGCAATTGTCGGCCGCGAGTTTCAGCGAAAATTGAAATTACGAAGGTGACTTCGCGGTGGGAGATTAAAACGGTGAAAGCGCTTAGGAAAAAATTTATGGACGTTTGACGCAATTAAGGGCGAATGTTCGCCCGGTAGGGGCATAATTAATGAACATGTGCGCGGCGCTCCATCAGGCCGACACAGACTCTTTTGAAATGCCCCACCGTACAGCCTTTATGAAGGTCCCGCTCGCTTCCGATTAACCCGTAAATCTTCGGTGCTCTCTTCCGCGCCGCGTTTTGCTCTTGCTCCGTTCTTATCCGCTCGGTAGTGTGGCCCACGTACACACGCACCACGATTTGAGGGAGAGACCCCGTCGTCGTCTCTATTGTTCCAGCTTTTCATACTCGGTTCGAAACGAACGCGATCCCTGGGAAACGCGAATTGCTGGAACGCGGCGGCGGGCGACCGATTAAAAGCGCGTGCGGAACTCGTTCCCGAATGGAGGAAAAGCTGCTATAATACTCTAAAAGCTGGAATAATACTCTTTCCTCGTGTTCGCAGCTTTAAATTAAGCTTGATTGACGCAGGGCATATCAATGCCAGTAAAAATCAACATCACGAATCTTGGTATATTCGTACTTCAAATTGACGATTGCAAGTATCGAGAGATTTGTGAGTAGCATGATACAAAGATCTATATGCATATATACATGTATATAGTGGAAAGAGACAAGAGTAAGAGAGAGGTAATAAATATATATGACAAATTATATTTATGGAAAAAGTATCGTGTATAGAGAAGAGGTATGAAATATGTGAATCACGGCTTTTATATACGCTCGAATGCTATTGTTGTGCAGCAAAGTGCTGTTGAAAGCGTGTCCCAACGCGTTGGAAATGGCGCTATGTCACGCCGAAAAAAATGTGAAGGATGAAACAATATAACTATCTCGTACAAAAATAATATTTTTCGATATCAGAGCGTAGAATAACATAAATGGAGATGTATAAATAAACATTAAACTAGAATTTAGATAAATTGCTCGCTTAAAAAGAGTAAAAAAAGAGAAACTACATTGAGAAAAAAAAAAGTGCGTTGGGTTTTAATTTAATTCAACTAGCCGCATACTCTGCAAATATGCACGTGTGTATTTAATGTTTCAAGGATAATAATAACGTAACATGAGATTCTACACTGTCAAGTTAATTAACTCAGCCCGGCGTTAGATCAACAAAATTCATTTGCGAAAAACGCGCAGTAATAATAATAACAATGTACACAATTAATGCAAATAATAATTATTATGGGCGACTGCAGTACACGAGAAATGCGGCGACGCTCCACAGCTGCAAAGTCCGTTCCGCATTTCTAAGTTTCTTGCGCTACTTTAGAAGTTATTCGCCGTATTTTGTATCAGGCGCAAACCGCAGCCCACCGTAATACGGAATTACTTTAGGAGCCCATCGCGTTATTTCTTCGTTTGGGAGGCAAGTGCACTCAAATGCACGTACTTAAGTTAGCATATATGTACATGCTAAAATTTCGAATAAATTATCATCCGCGTGGAACAGAAGGGCGCATATTTCTACATAATAAATTTATGTTACTTATGTGTTAAAATTTATAAATTAAAATTTCGGTGGTCTTCTTTAATTTCTTTAAATCTTTAATTTCGTAATTAATTAATTAATTGTTTTTTTAATGCTGGGCTAATGTTAAATTTAATCAAAATACATACGTGCTGCCTTGGAGACGGCCTTAATTTCGGGTTCCAGCGGTTTAATTGCTTTATCCTTTAGTGCACCCGGCGGCGCGGCTTTCACTGTTCTAGCCAAGGCTTGACAGGCTGCCCAAAGGATCTGTACATTCGACGCACCCTTCTCCTCCTCCATACGAGCTGAAACAAAAATATTTCACTGAATTTCTGCACTGAATTCAACGTCTTGATAAAAATTCGTTGCAGTCGAGAGAAACTTACACTACGTTCTCGACGATTAAAAATTTAAATAGTCCTGTTAATAACCCGAGATGAAAGTTTATATGATGCTGATAAAACTTCGCGCTAATGAAGAAAATCGCGCTCGTTTTTCTTCACTAACGTAATTTTGCATTTTTATGATCGTAAATTATTAAAAGAGATAGCTACCGAGGTATACACAAAATATTATACGCTAGAGATTTAAATGTTGCAAAAATACCAAATGAAAGTGGGATTTAGCAATTTATTTGATATATGTATTATGTTAATATACGTAATAAAAACTTAATACGTATATCGTTATTAGTCCAATATTAAATTGCGATTCGTCAGTATCTACCGCGAAATATACGTAATAAAACTCAATACGTATATCGTTAATTAGTCCAATATTAAATTGCGATTCGTCAGTATCTACTGCGAAATTGTTAAAGAAAGGGAGACCAGCGGTAAAATTCAATTGTAATTTAATTTGTACCCATACGTATCCGTCCAAGTTCCCCGATCATTCGAAAATCCTCGGGGGATCTCGTGTCGTGTTACAGTGACAAACATTTCGCGCGCTTCCGTGACGTGGCGACATTTTTCAATAACAGCGCTCGCCGTGGGAAAATCCCGATATGTACGTGAATTATGAAAGCTCGTCGAACCGTGCTCTCCCGACACGTGCTCGGGTCCTAAAAGGCCGCGCGAGATCAGCGTTATGCATAATCCCGTTCGTAAACAAAGATAAAACTTGGACGTCAAAACAACGTATAATTAATGTCATTTGTTAAAATATTAAAATGTAGTACGCATACGACTACAACTCAGCGATTTATTTATTACCTTGTGCAGGATGATAACGCGTTTTACAGACGCATCCGTTCGGCACAGATTCGCGGAAACCAACTGGCGATGACGGAGAAATAAACAGCCTAGCCGGAGCGATAAACGGACTTTGCCATCAATACGGTCGAATTGAAAATGTATTCAAACATCGTTTACATCGGTGGTAAATATTTTCATGAGCCGCGTTGCGTGAGCGTGAAAATATTGTTTCAAAATATACGTACTCGGCGCGGGTCAATTAAATGGTAATATAATCGCGATATTTGCGATTTTGTATTTGTTAATTTCACCGCGACTAATTGAATCATCGTTAAATTATCGTGCTGGCATAATCGGCATTTAATCGACGGCATGACGAGCATCCCACCTGTCGACCGGCGATTGATGAACTGTAAATCGGAAAGATGTTCGGCATGGCCGTTAACACCGTCAAGGCGGGCGAGAGGAACAGGATTCAGCTGAATCTCGGTGCTTCTAGCTCGTGATTTATTACGTGTATCAATCCGGATAGGGTTTACAGAGCGATCTCTTGTCTAGAGAAAATTACTCCTGCTCGATTAGAGATTTTCCGTGCAGCTCTCTCCCGTTTCTCTCAGCCCGTTTTCCCAGATTTCAGGGTCTGGTCTGGGAAAATCACATTTCTATTTACTTGTATGCCATGTACGAACATCCGCATTATGTGAATTAACGTTAATTTAGACGAAGCTTGATAAGCTTTAATTCTTGTACTTATAAAATAATTTTTTTTATATTTCACTGCAAACGTTTGATTTAAAAAATCCAACATTATCGTCGTCTCTCAAAATTAACAAAGCAATTACAGTCGGTTCACGCTCTCGGGTTTCAGAGAGAAGCGCGAAAGCAAATTACGGTCTGTAATAAGTGCAATATCATTCTTTATAACGACAATCGCTCTAAAAGCACGAACGTTTCGAGGACACAGACGCGCGCGTGATTAATCTCCCGCGATAGAGGGGTCCCACCCTTCCCAGCAATTTTATCGTCACGGCGAGTTACGGGGCGCACTTTTGTCGCCCAAATATCATTATCGTGCTTTTTCATAAAATATCCATAATACGTTCAGCAAAAGAGAAAAAAGGGGGAATCCTTGCGAAGGCTTAGTCAGCAAGCCGCGCCGGTTATCCCCCGTTTTAAATTACTCGGGCTCGAATAACCGAATCCGCAATTCGCGTGGCCGCGGCAATATCATTTCTCGCAACGGCAATAAAATTCCGGTGCTCTTTAAGCTAATCCTACGCGGGGCGCATTTTTATCGCGCGACGCCTCGGAGAGGTCGCCGGGGATGGACCGTATTATCAATTTCGCCGCATAAGCAAGCAACCTCGCAAATTCGCAACCGCAGACCAGTCCCCGGTTCGCATACGGGACGAATTACCGAATCCGTCGTGCAATTTCTGCTTTATTGCCCGCCCGGCTCCGCCAATAGGCGGTGGCATTACACACAGACCGCGCGACCGTCTGCCGCTATTTCCTTTTACGAGTGGGTCGATAGCGCGATAGGTAATTCTCGCCAAAAATCGAATAGAAGTCGTATCGACGTTTCGGCCACGGCGAAATTCCGTCCGCGGGACGGTATACACCCGCCGTGCCCTGGAAACTAATTATTCAGTAACATCCAGGCAGTTATTAAGTCCGCGGTTTTATATCCGCTTGTCAGTCATCGTCCGGTTTTATTGGCAATACCGTTGGATCCACTATAATGCCACATTGACCCATCCATCCTATCTTTACACGGTTGCCTGTCAAAATATGAATACATGTATCTGGGCAAAAAAAACAATTTAACTTTTGAATCTTCCTATTCGCGGAATATAATCTTCGTAAATACGCTAGGTAAATACGCAAACGTATATATAATAAAATGAGCTACGCGTTTTCAATATTTGATATAATACTTAAATCCTGCTTAACTCGCAACGCCCACCACCACATTGTATACAACAGTCCAGTTTCATCAACTTTATCGCTACTAAAATGCAAAGTGCTTGATCATAAATGGTAAAGATAAATTATCTCAGAGACCATCGTTTTCTCGCACAGCACTACTTACATTTTCCCGCATATAAACGACTGATCATAAATTAATGTCTACAAGGCGCTCTTTCCTTTCCTCTCACGCAATATCGAATCTCCAGTTGTATTGGTGGAACGCATCGACTTTAATGGTAAGTTAAAGCGACCGTAAAGCCAAAATGACAGACCGATTGCGCGACGTGCGACATATATCCCAGAATCTGCTTTCCTTCTAGCTCTCTCTCTTTTTCTTCCGTTTTCCCTCCGTGCTTATATTGCCGCGCCATGGACTTTCAGCGAACGATTCTCACGCTCGAACTGGTCGGTGAGCATCGACGCGGAAAACGGAGAAGGTCGAAGGGCTCGGGAGGGCTGTTTCAAGCCGGATCCACTCCATCTCGCGTGTCGGTCCTTCTGCCCGTTCCTTCCTTGCCAGACGAAATCGCGTTATTACGTGGGAGCGAAGCCGTCCGCGGCTGAACCGAATGTCGTTGCGAAAAGTTCCCGAGCCCAAGTTAAATCCACCATATATCCGCGGGAATTATCAGACTCCCGAATGAACGCGTCCAATTATTCCGGATAATTACTAGTTTGTCCAAGCGTACCCTCCGGCGGCGATGTATCGTCACTCGGACGGATGAAGTTCCGCTCTGCGGCCTGTCAGAATTAATTGTCTCCACTGATACCCGCGAAGATCGTAATTACCGGACCACGGGCAATTTTTTTCGCGTTTATCGATGGGCGCATCGCGTGAGAAAATGAAAAAATTAATAAATAATGATAGTAAAGGCCTTCACACATAAAATGCCGTAAGGACGTTAAACGTAAGCGTAAGAAAATCGATCAATCCCAATCAAGTATTTTCCCCTACTGGGGTTACGGTCAGCACAATACTTGATTGAGATTGGTCGATTTTCTTACGCTTACGTTTTACGTCCTTACGCGATTTTATGTGAAGGCCTTAAGCCAAAAACGTCTAAAAATGTGTCTTTTCGAACCATTTATTTTATAAATTGCTCTTACAAGTGATGGGATTCAATCCATCGACGTTCTAAATTTTAATTACCACGCTAAATATAGGTTACTGTATATAGAGATTTCAGAGTAAACTGTTTATTTATCTTGTAACTTCGGTACGTGTGTCAATTTTCGTACTTCCAGTTTTGTTTGTGATTCATTAATAATTAATAAGAATGGCATAAAACGGATGTTAATCCTGAGAATGTTGATGTACACGAATTAAATTAAATTTAGTTATAACGCAACGACACACATATATTTAGCCTTTCCTTCCCGTGATATGCATCCACTCTACTTGCCCTTACCAATCAAGGGCAAGTAGAAAGCGCTCAAGTTACGCGCTTTATTTCATATATTTTCCAATAATTATTTCTACGCCTGCCGCCGTTTATCGCAAAAAATTTCGTATGTTATCTGATGGCACCGCGCCAGGTCACACACTGCCGCCGCCGCCTGTTTCTCTCTTTTATGTTCTCCCCCTCTATCTCTCTCATAGGATTAAATTCCAGTTAATCGATAAAGAGCAAACTCAAATGCTGGCATTATTGTTGCGAGAATTTGTGGCCGGACAGTACTTATCGGTTCATTCGGGCGAATTTGGAACGAGCGACCTTTTCTCTCTGCGCTCTCTGTCGTTTCCGGCCCATCGGGCTCGTCTTTCACGAGGCGAAGCGCTGGTTAAATCAGTTTCGGAGGGAATTAAGCGGCGCCAGGCCACGTGACATTTTACGCTCCGAAAGCTGCGCGAATTTCGAGGGCTGCTCTATATGCCCTGCTTTCATAGCGCGAGCCCTCCCCGTCCCACACTCTTCTCCCTCTTCTCCTCTGTTGCTCTTCATCCTTTCTGTGACCCTGTTTTCCGAACGCTCTCGGATTGACGAGAGCGTAACGATGCGGTCGACGCACGACAAAAGGGTGGATTGCACAACCCCAATGTCGTGCCGACACGCCAAAGGCTTTTCCCCTGTCCGCCGACACACATTGCGTCACGCTGCGGAGGCTGCGCCTCCGCAAATCGGCCCACCGACTAAACA